TACTTCTGTGTCATGTTTTGTCACCTGTCTTAAAATGAGCCGATGTGAGTGATTATTATCAAAGCCAACTGCAGTTTTGATCCAGACCCCAAGGCGCTCGGATGACCATCACCGACCAAATGTGGGGTTGACGCCTCCGTCAGGCTGCAGTTGATGTTAGTGATCTTGGACAGATGGACCACCAGCTTTTCTTTCAGCCTTTCTGTCTTCAGTTTGTCTCCCTTGGTCTGGAGACCAGTTCAGCTTTGTGCAGCAGTTCATAGCTCAGCATACAGCGAGACTTGACTGTATGTTCCCGCTGTTGACAAACTCCAGGACCCCCTCTGGACAGTTAATTCAGTTTGTTGTTGGACTGATAGATCTTTGCTTGTTTCCATAGTGAAAAGTTATATTGCTTGGCTGACAATTTCTTTGTTGTTGTGTCAGTGGTGCTCGACTGACAGTTTCATTGAAACATCCCATTGGTCAGATTTCCCAGACCCAACTTCAGCGTCCACCTGAACACATCTGGTATCCGATCCGGCACCCAGCACTAGAGGGTCATGATCAACACTCAGATGGATGCTGTATGTATCTGAAGACTACCTGTCTGTGTTTTGTGGGCCTAGCCAGACTCACCTCCCCAATCCATAGCTCTGTCTTCTCAGGCTGCTGAGAAGGAAAAATAAACAATCCAATTATTAAAAGTCTGATTCAACATTCATCTGTTATCAACATTAATCATCTGTTAGCAAGTTCTATTCTGGGACCACAGCGTTTACCTTCAACAAAGTCATTCTGGTGTCCTGGATTGCACAACAGATGTTTTAAACGCTCAAATACGAGTGAAACTTCCATCAAGCACTGCACAATCCAATTCTTTACGCCTACTGCATAAAATATTCCATTCAAAATAATGTCTTCACTTTTTTAGAATATGTATTTTGACTCACCACCTGACAGTGAGGACCACTCTCAGGTCTACATTATCCATTTAGACTTTGTAAAGGTTTAGGCAGCATGATTATATGTAACCACTGCTTGTTATATAACAAATCTGCAAATCCTTCCATCTCATAACTATTCTTGTTCACTGCATCCTAAACAAAATACTTCTAATTCACTTCAGTTAAGACTATGTCTACACTTCAAGACATCACAGAGACCATTAGCACTGCACAGAAACGTCTACATGCACCTTTGTTCACAAAGCACAACTTCTCAAACTCACCATGTACTCAACTCTGTTCTCCTTATGCACTCATAGGACCTGTGTGAAATCTCAAGATGTTTAGAGTCATTTCATTTACCCACTAGAATTGTTGTTTTTCCCATAAATAACCCAGTTCAGGTAGCTCTTAGAAGGGAACAGCTCCTAAACTCTAGACAACATTTTCAATATGTGATAAAGTCACTTAGACTGATTAATTTAACCCAAGCATTTCAATTTGTGTTAAGTTAAGAGTTTCTTTGAGCAGAATAAATTTTTTCTTCATTTTACAAGTGTCAAGGATTCTGTTTATTCCTTATCTTACGTTCTGTCATTTTTTAGTTGAATTTAATTGAAATTTATTAACTGATGTTATTGTCAATTCCAAGAAGAAATTTTGGCTAATTTGTTTACAATGTGTCATAAACTTAATTTGACCTGTTTATGATGTTTATTTGTCCTTCTTCCTTCGGCTTTTCCCTTTTCAGATGTAGTGAACTAAGCCTCAGGTCAAAATCTGACCCTGAGGACCTTCATGGGACAGAAACTGTTATTTCATTGATTTGAGTCCAGAAATACAAATTAAGCTCATCCAGAGACTTTCTAAGTGTGTCCTGCACTAATCAATTGAAAGAACACTCTTTTTTTATATTATCATTACTATTTTACAATATCTTGATAATCAAAGTGTGTTTAGTTCAAACCATTTTAAATGTTGAAGTGAACTACTCATTTTAAATCAACTGTGAAACAGTATTAATGATTTTTTAATCCTCATTCAAAGTAGAAATCAAGTTAATGTCTGTTACAGAGTAATTATGCATTTTTTGATCTTCTGTCTGAAATGAGAAGGAGTGATGTTGGTCAAAAGTCAGAGACAGTCGCAAACAAGTTTATTGGAACGAACTGTCATGTTTTTAAAACCTCTCAGACAGAAACAGAAGCTGGCACCTGTTTCCTCCCATTTCGCCAAAACATTTTCCTGTCTGCTCCAAAACATTTCTCTGTCGGTTCCAAAAACATCTCACTGTTTTTCTGACTTGTAGTAACCTCTTACGTCACCAAAACCACACCCCTGTTGGTTCTTTCAACCAATCAGGATTTCCCAAAAAAGGGACCCGAAGCGAACTCTTTAAAAGGGTCGACACTTCCTAGTTCCAGAGAGAACAACGTTCCAGAGCAGAACAAGAGTTCCAGGGAGAACCTCGAACCAGAAGTTCCTGAACGAGAGAAGTTCAGAAGAACAGAAGTTCGAACAGTTTCTAATGGAGTGACAATAGTCCGTCGATGCCACGACGTCTCGCTGTGGCTCTACCCGACGAACGCTCTGAACAATGAGGAAGTTTGTTCTGTGATGATCTCACAACTCCTGAAGTCACAGCTGTTCTTACAGAGACGCTGAAAGGTGGCTTGAAATGGAACTTTACGCCGGAACTGAAATATCTTCAGAAAGGTAAAAGAGTCTATCTTCAACTGCCAGTGTACCGTGGGTTAAGCTGCGTCTAAAGGAGCGTGCTGTTCTGGTTATACAGACACTTTTCCTCATCCATCTCTCTCCATTTAAACTTCATTTTCCCATCTTTAAACTTCTATCTTGCCAGTAATTAATCCAGATATTTTCAGAAATGTCTGTTGTATTTTTAGTTGCAAGTGAGAAATCATGGCCGTATGATTTCTCATTGTAAAGATCATTAATTAAGCTGTGTTAGTGCGTTCAATCAGAATAATCACGTGTACAATGTTTGATGTTAAACTTTGATTCTGTTAATAAATGACCACATTCATTTTGATGGGTCAAAGAAAATTAACGTCTCATGTCACTGGTTTTTAGACCATCTCCCACACAGTACTTCTAAGCACATATCTGTCAAGTAGCTCGAAAAAGAGAGAATCCGTTTAAATTAAGTATAATATCAGGTACTTGAACTAGTCCAGATATTATAACATGTAGTGGAGCTCCTAAGCTAAATGAAGCTAACCGACCTAGCTTACTACACAGAAGTCACCACAACGAATCATCCTCCTTATTTCCTCTTAGGCCTTCGTCAGACCTACGCCTCACTTCCTCCAAGACCACCCCTACTCCATTTCTCTTTCTATCCACACCCTGATAAAACAATTTGAACCCAGCACCAATGCTGCAAGCCTTGCTGCTCTTCTACTTGGTCTCTTTGACACCTCAACCATCTACCTTCTTTCTCTGCATCATGTCAGCAGCTCTCTGTCAGCAGCTCTCTACCTTTGCCTGTCTGTTCAGTACGTTTGTTATCAATTTACCTCTGTCCCTCGCCCGCTTAGTGAGTGGCTGTCTGCCATCTTCATCTTCCCACACAGCGAGCTGTTCCAACAATACCTCCAGCTGACTCCCTCTGACTCCATCTCTCGGTTAATTATCGCTCGTACACGGGATGTCCCCCTCTGGCCCTCTGGCCTTGAGTTTCAAACCATTGCTGCAGATCAACAGTTCCAGAGGTCACTGCCTCCTCCTTTACCTCTGACACTGATTGAACACACAAATGTTTTTTGACCTCGCTCTCTTATCCCCGTTTATGTCTGGCCTCTGACAGCTGTGGTTTTAATCAGCTGCTGATTATTCTTCCTATTTCAAACGATGTATTACATTACTCTCCCAACGTTCAGCGACTGAAAATGGCGTTCAGATCTCCTCCTGCCAAGATCACCCCTAAAATGAGAGCATTAAGAATGTTCAGCCAACGACCTCCTCTCTGCTCACCCTTATTTTACCTGGTCCAACCTCTGACCACCTGTCAGGCTGCTTCCTAGCCTGCCTGATGATGTACCACCTCCAAGCACCTCCTCCCTCTTTTAAGCTGTATTCAGCTTACTTCAACGTTGTTGTACTTCTGCTGACTTATTCCTGCTAATTTCTGAACATCGTGCTCCTTTCAGCTAATGTTTGGAAGATTCAGATATTTCTGCTTACATTTCAGATAGCTGTTACATGCCAATATCAGCTAATTCCACCTTTCTTTTTAAATTAATCCAACTTTTACAGCCCAATTCAGGAAAACCAAGCTCTACCCACTTACTTTTGGTACTTTAAGAATATTTATGCTTGTTTTAGCTATTGGTCTGCTGGTCTTTAGCTAATTGCCTCTGTTTCTTTTTGATAATTCCCATATTTCGTGCGCGTTTATACTTATTTCATATTCTAAATTGTTCCATATCGTTTAGATTGTTCACCAATATGCTCTTAACTCATGTATTGATCCTGTAGACTTTCCACAGGAGTCACATGTTTCTCATTTATGAGTTCCACACCTGATGACAACGTTCACACACTCAGGCTTTCAAATCTTTTTTATTCTCATTCACAGCTGGCCCCGTTGTGATAAAAAAATTCACAAGTCTGTGTTATGAGTACAGACTTGTCCTTGCCTTACACAACAGCGCCCCCTTTCGGTCAGGATATGGAAGCTCAACTCACCAACAGACACACACACACAGAAAAAAGAAAAAAGCAACCCTTTGCTTCGCCCCCACACACAGCTCACCCCCACCCCTCTTTTTTCCTTCTCTCTATTGTTTCGTCTCTCTCAACGCCTCCGGCCTTGAAGCCTTTACACAACATAGAAAAAACGTGCAAACAAAAAGTATTACAACGTCCTAACCCTAATGTGATCCCTGATCACAGGAAATTTGGCAAAACTAACTAAGTCCCAGACTTTCACATTTCCCTTTGAACTAAATTATTAATGGCGTCTAATTTGACGGGCAGTCGACACCCGTCACGGAAGACGCGCCCCGTGGCTGCGAGTCCCCAACTCGGTTTCCGTATATCTCGTCAGATCTACGGCTTGGTCACCACTCCAGCTGGAAAAAGGGAAATATGTCATTCACGTCCGACGCGAACCCCGGCAGGTCCTTGCCTTCCTCCGGCACGAGGCAAACTCGTGAAACTAACTACGAAATACACTTACTTAAATGTTAAACTAAGCCGTGCAAAGGACACTCACGCACGCGCACGCAACGTATAACACCAAAAGTGTCTGAATACGCGTAATCCGTTTGTCAGAAGTACCACTAATCACCGTAAATTAGCTTAACAACCATCTTTATTTTCGGAGATGGTACGAAACACGCACAGAGGAAGCTAGAATTTGGTTTACGGCCGAATAGCGGAATTTTTTGAGCCTTTCGGCCAACTTAGGTAAAATCCGCTTACCTGTTATATCGGGCCCAGTTTTCCTCTGCGTGTGTCCAGCACCACTCGATCCAATTCTTGTGTCCGCCAGCTGTACGTCGGGGTCACCATCTGTTGTGGCTTTGTGCCACACTCGTGTTCAAAACAGCTGAGACGGTCACCTTAGTTCAAAAGATTTATTTGACAAACAGGAGTTACAGGTATTCAGAGACAAACAATTACATTTGTAAAATATATGCATATATTTGGAGCATTAAAGAACGAACCGTCTCGGTCTGCGCTTCCCCGGAAATGCTCGCTGGGCGTGTGTCATTTCCGACTTTTATCAAAGTTTGAGAAGGCTAGCTTTCTGATTGGTTTAGACCCGGTTACTATGGTTACTGGTCTAGCCCGCCCCCTCTTACTGCATTCCAGAGATAAGATATGGAGGCTTGGTTTCTTCGTCTGCGTTCAGACTGTTCATACTCTAGTTTCAGTTTAGCTTGATACCTTATACCTTAAAATACCTTATTGATACCAAATGATTTGAGAACAATGATTAAACGATTAAATGCTAATTGTTATCATCATACGGATTTTACTTAGTCAAACTATATTAAGTCTAAATTAAAG